ATCTATCTATCTATCTATCTATCTATCTATCTATCTATCTGTCTGTCTGTCTGTCTGTCTGTCTGTCTGTCTGTCTGTCTGTCTGTCTGTCTGTCTGTCTGTCTGTCTGTCTGTCTGTCTGTCTGTGTGTGTGTATATATATATATATATATATATATATATATATATATATATATATGGCACTATGTATGCAGCTTATGTCTAATTTATATGGTTGAATATGTGAACTGAAATTGGCACTATGTATGCAGCTTATGTCTAATTTATATGGTTGAATATGTGAACTGAAATTGGCCCTAAATATGCAGCTTATGTCTAATTTATATGGTTAAATATGTGAACTGAAATTGGCACTATGCATGCAGCTTATGTCTAATTTATATGGTTGAATATGTGAACTGAAATTGGCACTATGCATGCAGCTTATGACTAATTTATATGGTTGAATATGTGAACTGAAATTGGCACTATGTATGCAGCTTATGCCAAATTTATATGGTTAAATATGTGAACTGAAATTGGCACTATGCATGCAGCTTATGTCTAATTTATATGGTTGAATATGTGAACTGAAATTGGCACTATGTATGCAGCTTATGTCTAATTTAAATGGTTGAATATGTGAACTGAAATTGGCACTATGTATGTAGCTTATGTCTAATTTATATGGTTGAATATGTGAACTGAAATTGGCACTATGCATGCAGCTTATGTCTAATTTATATGGTTGAATATGTGAACTGAAATTGGCACTATGCATGCAGCTTATGTCTTATTTAAAATAGGTAGCAGGAAATATCACGAGAAGTAAACACGGCCGGCTTAATGTTGACCACATCGTTATTCTAGTACTTTTTAGTGTATTCAAATACGGAGCCGGCAACATATGCTTTTAGTACATTAGTCATATGACAGTTTTTTTTTTAAACATGACTTCGCTTCGCCCAATAAGCTCTGTAAAGAACTCTTTGTCTTCAATGAGTGAGTGAGTGAGGTAACATTCCACTAGGAGCGATTAACATCCTGTGACACAAAGGGCCATCATTCGGATGAGAATCAGGCACACGTCTCAGAAAGCCCGTTTAACCATTTGGTTTTATTAGGGCCGCCGACTATAGCCTACGTGAGGCTTTAAAATAAAAATAAAAAATTGCGTTCTATATCGGGAAGGAGTTAATGTCTTCTTTTGACACTGACAGAGTTGTTTACACAGGGTGTCCGTGGCGAAGTGGTCAAGCCGTTTGCCTCACGTCCTGGAGGTCGTGGGTTAGTTTCACGGCCGCGTCGTTTGGCCTTGGTCTTGGTAGTCAAGGAAAAAAAAAAATGCTTTCCTTTGTTAAGATGAGCTTAGTTTTTCTTATGATCAATCTAGTGAGGTGTCTGGGTTGCTGGTGGTGTTTTTCTCCCACGGGGGAATGGTTTGCTTTATGTTTTCTAGTTTTTTTTTATAAGCTTGTTCGATCATGCTTGCTTCTACAGTTCTTGACAGCAGCCAGGCGGCTGGTTCTATGAATCTCTGGGCTTTACAATCTCCATATTGGCGGATGTTGGGGTGGAATGCTTTTATAAAAAATGTTTAGGATGCAACTTTTATAGAGATCACTGGGGGACCCACGGTGTTCGCGTTTTGTGCGACGTTCTCTGCAAGTAGCTCGCCGTTTTGAGGAGAGAGACGGAGCCGTATGGGATAAAACCTGAGGCAATAAAGTCGATCCTCTCGACTTAAACCCTTTTAAAAATAGACTTTTATACAGTTCGAGTTTGATATCGAATACTGTATTTTGTATGATGAGAACAACCAAAAGAAAAGAATCATTAAATCGACCAGGAAACCACCAGCCCCAGCACAAGACGACTATTTTATTATGGACCGACCAGAACAAGTCATTATCCCCCGCCTCAGAACAGGGCTAACCGATTACGTAACCACATGTACACAAAATTCAAGATAGGTGTATCAGCCATGTGCACCTGTGGAAAGGTGCCCCAGACTGCACCGAATTTGACACATTAAGGCAAACCTTTTGGCCAGAAAGAACAACAGTGGAACGTAAACTCTATGGACCACTGAATGAACTAGCAACGACAGTGAAATTTATACAAGAGACAAAACTGCTGATATAGACAACTTATTTCAGGCGAACGAAAGAAGAAGAAGTATGATAAGAAGAAAAAAAAGTATTTCTATGCGTTTGACCCCTAATGTACTTTCACAATAATTGATTAAGATGTCTGCTGTGTCAAGACCCCTACTTAGCTGGGGGCCTCCGCTTACTTTATGATGGTCGAAGCACAACTGATAGTAAAGGTTATCATTAACAAATATGGCGGGGAAGGGGAAGGGGGTGCTTAAGGTTATAATTATCTTCTTCTTTTTCTTCTGCGTGCCTACCGGCTGTAAACTCCGGAGGAAAATTTTAATTGTTCGTTCACTTTTGGTCTCTAGTCCTGTTCCAGAAACAGTGTTGCGCGTACATCCGTTTCACGGGTATGTCTCATTTGCAAACAGACTGTTGGTTCCTTGCTTCTCAGGCAGATGTACTCCGACTTTGAAGGTTCTGTGTGCTAGTGATTGCTTTGATACACTTTCACGACCCTAACGGGTCAAGGGTTATGTTATTTGGTGGAAACCGTGTGTTCTCCTGAGACACTCGACGGAGTTGGGAGAAGTTGGGAGAAGGAAATGATCCGTGCAGACAGAAGGTGATTGGAAAGGGGAGTGGGTAGATGTATACAGGTAAAAAAAAAAAAAATCAGTAGGCTTGTAGAACACTGAAGTATTGAAAGACGCAAATATTGTAGCCATGATAAAAACGGACACAACGAAATTACATTTCCGGATGAATCCAGAAGAAGAAACCAATGTGACAGTGAGATATAAAAACCGCAAAAATGACGGCGAAAAGCTAGAAGTAAGAAGGATGCTGCGGTGAAAGTAAAAGGTACAAACAATTAATAAAGGCCTACAGTTTAAATAATCATATGCCCGGCTCTTTAGCGTAGTTGGCTAAACCGGATTGCGCGGTGACCGGGTGACGAACTCCTTGTGGTCCGGGTTCACTCCCGGGGGTAGGCAGAAAAGCCACATTTTCTCCCAGATTTACGGTATTTACGATGGAATCAAGGCCGAAAGGGGTCGATATCCATAATACCGAGCAAAAGGGTTAACAACTCATGGCTTCTGGATACTAAAACAAACAAACAAACAACAGACAAATAGTCATATCAGAGGCAGTGATGCTGTCATCGATATGTAGAGTTTGGGGGGGGGGGGCAATGGGGGCCTACTGATCACGTAGTTGATGTTCTAGATAGCTCAAGAACAGCAGACGTAATAAGATCTCATCTTGGTGTCCATATCCACTCCCCTGATTTGGTCGCAGTAATGACCATTGACATCGAAAGAGTTGAGGATGTGTAGTAGCTCAGCCAGACATACCCAGGGATCAGTGGCTATAGCTGGACTTCTTCTTCTTCTCTTCCACCTTGTACCTCATTGAAGTGTCAGGGGGAGATGTAACGTTCGTTGATGAGCTCTGTCAAGAGCACTATCAAGACTGAAGTTCATTTCTATAAGGCTGTTCTTAATGCCATCACTCCATATTTTCCGAGGTCTTCCACTCGCTCTATACCGGTTGTAACGTTTTAGTGTGGCTCGCTGTGGCAGATAGTACCAGGGAATTCTTGTTAGGTGTCCAAACCACTTCATTTGTTGTTCTTTGATGACATGCATTTATTCCTAGCATTTGTCTGATTTCATGATTTCGTAGTCTGTCTTTCCTTGCAACTCCTGTAGCTCTTCTAAGGCATTTCATCTCTGTTGTCACAATATTACGTTCATTGGAGGATGTAAGTGTCCACGTTTGGCATTGATAGCATAGAGTTGGCAAAAAAATAGTTCTGATAAGATTCACTTTAGTACTCCGTACCTACAGCTGGACTGCCATCTAGAATGTTGGAATTTTGAATTAATGAATCGACATCGTAGCAATTGGGACACTCCCATAAGCGCTCCGTCCCCATCTTCAGCAGCAAGCGAAGAGTTCCGATTCCGATGGCTCAAGTAACTGTCTGGTAACTCCGTGCAGCGCCATCTTCCTCAGACATAATTATCTATCAGTCTGCCTCGGCTGAGGATGAAAACAGAAGGCGGGCTTCCCCTAACAACTGTACGAGACTTACCTGGATTTGAGCAGGTAGGATTCTCCTCTACTAGGTGTTAATCTTGCAGACTGCAATCATGATGGAAACAAACAACAATTCAATGAGATTGCTGTTGTTGTTTGTTTGATTGTAATAACCTCTTCTTCTGAATTCAGTCTTTAAAAGGCGGTTGCTTGCCACTTTGTTTTGATGTATACAGGTAGGATGCGATATATACGCCGTTGGGCCCAACATATGCGATTTCATTAATTTCTTTATTAGTTGCCTTTACGACATACTTGTGTCCGAGCCACCACCCCCCCCCTTTCCACCCAACTCCACACACACAAAAATGGGGCCCCGGAACCCACACGTGTGTGTGCGTGTATATGTGTGTGTGTATATCGTTCAACCCAAGACCGTTTCCAGTATTGTTGTCAGTGTTAGAGACGACCTTATTCAATACCACCATTACCGTACAACAAGCGACCAAACACCCGGTGATACAAAAAGCCATCATTCGGATGAAGATCATCCGGGAACGTCCCCAAAACCCCGTTCAACCATAAAGTTTTATTAGGGACCCCTATTATAGCCGGACTGGGACTTTGAAATAACGAAATACTGCGTCCCCACATTGAAACGGGGAAGATATATATGATTATATTATTATTAACTTGTTTGTTTTGGTGCCTTCACAGGACAAGTAGCAGACGGAGAGGAAGTCACGTGATGTCTCCCAGTAAAAATGGCCGCACTAGAAGAAGATAGGGATTTTACCTGTACTGAACCAACCGCATATCCCGCAGTATTTTCACTTCTTTGACGTCAGTTCACTCACGTTTATGATATGAACAATGATTATCAATGTGTGGCTCTCACTGTGGTGTTTTGGCTTCGTCAGCCACATTTCTAACGGATTACATTTAACCGGGACGTGGAATAGTAAAGATTTCTTCATTTTTCTTACCAAATTTGGTTTTCAGAAAACGGATCCAAAACAGCAAGAAAACACACAGGGGTATATCTACGGGAATATAACCAAATCAAACAACGTAAACACGACAAAAGATCTAACGCTTGTTGTGGTTGATAGTGAGTATTTCTTAGAATATTATGGAAACAGTACAATACGGTCTAAACAGACTTGCCCAGCAATGTTTGTGAAAGTTGACCAGATAGCTTTCGATTATATCTGCAAGCCTAAAGGATTGGAGGATTTTCTGAGGAAGATCCCTTGTCCTAAGGATAAACTGTGCATAGACGAGGATAATCCCAAGAATGTGGTTCCTGGATACCAGTTTACTTACAAAGTCAGGGATGTGCAGAGACCAAGGTAGGTAGTTGATTAACACTTGATGATGAATTGATGTGATCATTAGCAAGGAACTTCTATAGGTTCACTGATGGTAAACTGCTTCTGCCTCTGCTCTGTAATTGGAGGAATATGAACCTGTTGGTACAGCATGGTTGATTTTTAAACCATTTGGGCATTCTATGTATATTCCTCCTCCTCCATCTATTACTGCTCTCTTGGCTGAACTATCTGTATATACTCTAATCCAACTCTGGTGTGGATAAAGTCTGTTCATCTCTCCTTCTGTAATTGATTGAATATCAGTTCTGCTCATTGATTATTTGGAGGAGATCCCTGTTACATTGGTTCTGACTGTTGTCAGGCTATCCCTAAGCCAGGGGGGGGGGGGGGGGGGCAGTGGCTATAAGGTTTCAGTGGAACTTTTGGTTTATGGGAGGGAGTTTGAGAACAGAGAAGGAAGCCACCAATTAGTTGACTCTTATGACATGGTTGTTAGGGCGGCAGTGAGTCTCTTCTTGATTTCCCCACAGTTGGAGGACTTGACTTGAATCAGATTAATCAGGTTTTAACAATTATTTACTGTGGGTTCTGGGGCCCTATCTTAGGAAAAAGAATAGACCCATTACCCCCTCCCAGCAACTATCTCCTGTCTTGAGTAAATAGAGATGTATGTTTCCGTCAAAGTGAGTCAGAATGTGTCTGCTTGAGAGGTGGGGTACCAACGGTCTGCATACATATAAGCCAAATGTGTAAAATGGATGGGCATGCAAAACTCAAGTTCTAGAACAAGACCAAAGTCCAGAAGTGGATGAACAACCAGAACTTTCTGCTGGAGTTTACAGCCAGTGAACACTAAGAAGAAAGTCTTAATTATGCCCCACCCCACATTCTTTAAATATTTTACTATATGATCATTTATTCGGATATTTTATTATCTTATCACTCATAGAAGTAATGACAACAGGTAAAGAAGTAGAACTTACTATATAGTAGCAGACTGCAGAGGCATTTAACAGACATTAGAGTTTAAAAGTATCTTTCCAGTATGAGTTCCGGGGCTTCATTGTGGGGAAAACAAGAATAAACCCACTGCCTTCCCCAACAAGCATGTCATAAGAGTCGATTAATTGAGGTTTTCCTTCAAAGTCAGAGTGCGTCTGCCTGAGAGGCAAAGAACCAACAGTCTGCATACAAATAAGTCATATCTGTAAAAAAATGGATGTGCATGCAACACTTAGGTTCTAGAACAAGTCTAAAGTCCAGAGGTGGATGAACAACCCGAACTTTGTGTCGTACTTTACAGCCGGTGAACACAAAAACGAAGAAGAAGAAAAGTATCTGGGAATAACTGACTTCACTGAAGATAGCAAAGTGGATGAAGAACTTGATATCCAGGACCAGTCAATTCCCCCCTCCCCCATTAAGAAACAAATGACTGAAGCAATGTCATCTTTAAACAGGATTTGGATGAACAGAAAACAGGATACATGTCACATCAGTTTTTCCTTATTCTCCTCCTCCTCTACTGCTTTTTATCTTGTTTACTCGTTCTTATTCTACTCTAGAGATGTCGATGTACACTATTTTCTTGTTTAAATCTGTACTCTTGGGTACATGTACACACTTAACATGTGACATTTTGTGTTTTGGTTTACAGCTAGGCTGCAGTATAGTACTCACTTTAAGCCGAGGCCAATTTTGAAAAACAAAATCTAGTTTGATGGGGATAAGCACCTAAGATCTTTAGCCAGCAGGCACGTGTTTGGCTGCTGAGCAGCACCCTGTTTATTCTACAATCCACAATAGAATATGAAAGAGTAAACAAAATCATAGGCTACATCAGAGTTTAAAAGAGTATGGTTATAGAGTATATCTACAACCCAGGGTAGAATAAGAAAGATTCACTATGATTATATAGTACATCTACAACCCAGGGTTGAATAGGAAAGATTCACTATGATTATAGAGTACATCTACAACCCAGGGTAAAATAAAGATTTACTATGATAGAATAGGTAGAATAAGACAGATTCACTATGATTACAGAGTATATCTACAACCCAGGGTAGAAATGGAAAGAGTCAGTATGATTATAGAGTACATCATCTCAGGGTAGAATGACTCCCTATGATTACAGAGAATATCTACAACCAAGGATAGAATAAGAAAGACTCAATATGATTATTGAGTACATCTACAAACCCAGATAAAAAAAAGAAAGATTAAACAAATTTATAGGCTGCATTACACATAATTTAGCAAGAGTTTCTGTGGCTGTTGTTGATTTTCTTTCTTGTTAGGACTGAAAATACAAATATTTACAACCTTCCCTGGTTTTTGTTTACAATTGTACAAAGTTTTCCGCACTGATTAATCTGGTGACCCTGTTTCAGTTGATGTCAGATATGGTTCATTCTTGTGAACAACACAGGGTCACCCTCTCAATTCCCAGTTGCCTTTTTTTCTTTTTTTTAGATCAGTGTTGTTCCCAGTGACATGTATCCTGTTTTCTGTATTTCCATATCCTGTTATAAGAGACGCAATTCCCTCAGTCATTTTCTTTCCTTCTTCTCTTCTGCTTGTTATGCCTGAATGGAGCATAAACAGACCTTCAGCCAACTCACATGAGTTGAATCAGTTCTTTCTATTGCACCCAGGTAACTCCATTTTTTCTGCATCTTTTTAAACTCACCATTTATTCCCCTCTCCACATGCTTTAAAAAAAAAATATTGATCTGCCTTTATTTATCTACTGGTGTGATTATTGTTCATTCTATCGGGGCAATTACATAAACGTGCTAGTTTGTCCTGACCCACACAGGACTGTAGGTTATATTCTATCTGGGCAATTACATAAACGTTCTAGTTTGTCCTGACCCACACAGGACTGTATGTTATATTCTCTCTGGACAATTACATAAAGTTCCTAGCTTGTTCTGATCCACACAGGACTGTAGGTTACATTCTCTCTGGACAATTACATAAAGTTCCTAGCTTGTCCTGATCCACACAGGATTATATGTCACACCTGGCTGGTGTAGCTGTTACGGGTGCCCTAATTATAACTTCTTTGGAGGTTGAACCGGGTATCTAGAGTCTTGCTATCTAGATTGAGATTTTAAGTCCCAGGATGATGTGGTAAACCTTTAGCTAGCAGTCTGACTGAGAGAGAATGTCTTGTGACACCACAGCATATAAGGCTTACACCAAAAGAGGAAGAAGACGTAGATCATAAGGCAGACCAAGACCAAGATGGAAAGATAACATCAGAGAAAATCTAAACAGCACAGTGCTTCATTAAGCAGGTGGTCAGAATAGCAAGAAGCAGAACATTACATCTCCCTCGACAACTGAGCGGTAAAAGAGGAAATGAAGAAGAAGAGCAGACAAAAGAGGAAGAGGACATAGATCATAAGACTTACCAAGAACAAGATGGAAAGATAACATCAGATTTACCTCTACAACAGCACAATTTTATGATCAGGTGGCCAGAAGTGCAAGATGCAGAACCTTTTTTCTCCCTCAACTCCGGTGAAAAAGGAAATGAAGAAGAAGAGAAAACTGATTAAACATAAACACACACAAATGCACACACACACACGCGTGCATTCACGCACAAATGTGCGCGTGCACACAGAGAAAATGAAAATGTAAAAGACATGTGCACGCCACTGGTGCATCAGGAAATGATATATGAACCATACATTTATTGAGCAGTCGGCACTCAAGGGGATATATGGTCATCGTCACACTAGATACATATACTTACCAGGCCATTCCTTGCTACCAATTTTAGGCTGGGTTGACCTGGGAGCGATGGTCATTAAACAAAATCTGCCTCGATGCAGATTCAAGCTTGTGACCTTTCGGCCAGCTTGCTACTGCGAGATCCAGGTATGTGAGTTCTCAGTTTTTAACCTTTAAAAACAATGGCCATGTTTGTTTTGTTTTTACCAGATATTTTTTTTTCCTTTCAGATTTTGGTATTTGAGTTTTGTGTCGTGTTTTCGGGACACATCAGGACGTAAATGTGAGTGGCAGTCTAGCGAAGACTCAGGGATTATCATCAACTATGATATTTGGCTAGTCAACGGAAACCCCTCAGTCAGGGGCCAGAATCCTTTTGAACACCAGTTCTCATTTGAATTCCACGATGTATTTGAGATTCATGTCATTGCACTGATTCTGTGTATTGCTATTTTCTTGTTGTGGCTGTATGCCTTCAGCAAACAGCGCCACATGGTCACCAGACTCTTCACCGCTTGCTTGTGCGGAGAAATGCTCAGCATCACGCTCAACCTGATCCACGTCAGCATCTTTGCCTACAACGGGGTCGGAGCTGAGTGGCTGGGGAAAGTGGGGACTCTGCTGGACTTGGCAACACAGTGTGTCTTTATGCTGCTGTTGCTGCTGCTTGCCAAGGGGTTGGGGATCACAACCGACCAGTTCAAGTGGAAGTCTGTGATTTTCTCTCTGTGGGCTGCGTATACACTCCTGAACATCTTCCTGTATGTGTGGAATTTGGTAAGTAAATACTGACATCATCATCATCATCAAGTGCCTTGATGACTTTGGGGGGGTCGATCATGCCTCTGCACAGTCTGTGATCTTCAACAACATATATGTGTACCTGTGGGATAGGACCACAAACACCTGAGCACTTTCTGCAGACCTGCCCACTCTCTTTACAGCTTTGGAAAGAAACCTGGCCCCAAGAGCAAAAAGCAAGCTATGGGGAATTATAAAGGACCTGCAACTAACAAACGAGTTCATAGAGGCAACCCACCTGATGGTCTGATCTGAGCATACGAAACCGAAAGCAAAGAAGAAAGAAGAAGACAACAACATGTATCAGTTTGTGTGCTGACACCCCTCCGTGCCGGGACCAAAGACTGATCAGAATCTTCTCACTTTGTCTTCCTCTTGTATCTTTTTCCACAGATCTTTTCAGTGGTCACAGAATGTTTAACTTGCTTTCTTTTCCTAATATCACCAAGAAATTATGACAGTCTTTTTCTGCTGTTGTGATAAGTTGTCTTCGAGCCCTTGCCCCTTCAAAACTAAAATTACTCAGTCAGTAAATCAGGAGGACACCTTCACAATGAAGATTGGCTGCAATGGTCTTATCTCCCCTGTCTGTCAATTGGGCTGGTTAAATCTCTTTCAGACTGTCACACACACGACCTTTCATCTCTTGAGGCTAACCTCCCACTTATATTGCTGTCTACCTCAGCTTGTACATTCAGTATAGTTTTTAATAAAAGTGTTATGTCGTTGACATGAAAGAGCAATCCAGATGTTATGAAAGAGGCCAAGGCTTGAAGAGAATGGATTAGAAGCTTTAGAAAGAGACAGTCATTAATTTTTGGTCATTTTATAAGAAGAAGGAAACTGGAATCTGTTGTGACCACTGCAGAGACCTGTGGGAGAAAAGAGACGGAGGAAGATGGCGCGAGACGATTCTCGACATCCTTTTGTGGATGATCTGATATCTGCTATTGAAGATCGCTGATTCTGAAAAGGCGTGATAGTCCATGCCAGTCGAAAAGGCACTTGATAATGATGATGTTATGTCTTTTAACATGGCAATATTTCATCACCATTTTATTTCTTTTAATAACTTTCTTTTTATATCTTTCAAAATGGTATTTTTATGTATTTTTGTTTCTTTTAACAGTTCTTTTAATTCCAAAATCTCTATTTAATAGGTTTTTTCTTTACCTATGAAGTACAAGCATTTTTTTGGGTATATTTACATCACCAGAACCTCAGTTCGACTTTTTAACTTGCTTGTGCGTTGTACTGATTTCTGTGCTGTATAGTAGGACTGAGTATACATAACATGTGACAGTTCTTGTGTTTAATGTTTTGTTTATCTCTCGGGTTTATGTTCTCGGGTTAAGAACTTGAATAATATGGTGGAGGTAATGTCCTGGGATGTAAAGACAGCTGAATGTATTGACAGTATTGAATGAAGCACACAGGGGGTTGGGGGAATGAAGAGAGCAATTGCTCAAGTCACAGCTGATAGTTTTATGGGAAAGGGGGGGGGAGGGGCAGTGGGTCTATCCCACTACTTGGGATGAATACGAAAAGGAGCGAGGAAATAATAAGCCCAGGATAATATGAAGGGAAGTCTGATAAAGTCACAAATTATTGTTTAAAAAAAAAATTTACAGACGATAACAACTTCAAAAAACTTTGATTTTAACACATACACTGTCCCTTTATTTTTCAACATAATTTCCACCAACATTGATGTACTTGTTCCATCGTTTTGTCAGTCCTCCCAAACCTGCTGCTTAGAACTGTGTGCTCTGTTTTCTATACCACATTTTCACTTCACATACAGCTGCTGCATCATTCACAAAATGTCTCCCGCCAAGGTGGGTTTTCGGTGGACCACTTTGAAGGAGAAACATTTGTCAGCATAAACAGGAAGCACTCCCTATGAATGTCTTTTGCAGGCAGCCCTTTTTCACCCCAGAAAACATACAACAGCACGTAGTTTTTTGAGGGTGCACTCTGTTAGTATAGTCACCATTTCGTTTTCATGTTGCAAATGCACATGCAACACCTATCGCCACCTAATGAACAGAGACATAAAGTTTGATTTGCTATCACGTAATAACACTTGTAGAAACCACCAACTGCATTTTCCTGCCATCCCAAAACCATTTGTGACTTACTTATTGACTTCCCCTCATACATCCGCCCCAGTATCTTTTAGAGAAACCAATATTGGTGAAAGAGGCCAGAGGTGCCAGAAAGGGAGAAATCAACTACTAAACATATGTTGTTATTAATGGCACAGCAAAATGAATAATGGATCATATAAAGTTAAAAAAACCATATTAAAATTCAATAAATTTGTAGTTGTGATAATCTGCTATACTACAATTCTTTCGGATTAACTGTAACTAAAATAGTTTTGAAAACTATTTGTGAAACCAACCCCCCTCCTCCCCCCCCCCAAAAAAAAAAACCGAGTACATTTTTGTTTTCCTGAACAGTTTGTACAGCAGATATTGGCAAGACAAAACAGTGTTAACCATCAAATTGATATTTGGACACTAAATTGCCAGGATTCTTGGTGATTGCTTCTGTTTTAGGGCGCAACCCGTGTCGAGCGGGAAGCCTAATACGGTTGTGAGGTTAAGCATTTATGTGCAGGATGTGACGATTCCTTGGGTGAGCCCAGAACCAGAGCGTTATGTATCGGCTCTGCTTTTATGGAAGCCTCCTTGGATGGCGGGAATGCCCATGATCTGCCCCTGCCTTCCCTTGAGGGCCAACCATTCCACACAGGGCTGCCCCAAAGGGGGTACTCCGGGGGCAACAGGTGTGGAGAAATGGACAAAGAGGTAACCACACACATAAGGTAACATCTCGACCCACACAAAATAATGGCCACAGTAATCCTAGAAATAGGCCTGACGTCTTCCCTCTAAGTCGGAGTACATCTGCCCGTGAGGCAGGGAACGGCAAAAGCCAGTAAAATGGTAAAAGCCAAAAGTTCAAGTGGACGATTAACCAGGACCTTCCACCGGAATTCACAGACGGTGAATGAAGATGCTTCTGTTTTGTTATTTGATACTTTGATCTATGTGTGTTTTCTCCAAGCTCTTGTTAATAGTGCTTAGACTGTTCCTGGTTCCCTTCTGTTTTTAATTTTGATAACAATTTTTTTAAAGTGAAAAATGTGTGGTTTTTCAGGGGGGGGGGGGGGGGGGGGGGGGGGGGGGGGGGGGGGGGGGGGGGGGGGGGGTTTTGTCCTGTCTTATTTTTAGAAGGGGAGGGTGGCACCTGAAAAGGGCTGAAAATCTGCTTTTCTAAACATCTGTTTGTTTTTGTTTTGTTTTGTTTCTAGGTCGAGATTGACAACATCATCTCCAACACGGACGAGTGGCAGTCTTGGCCAGGTTATGCAACATTGGCATTTAGAATTGTTGTTATGTTCTGGTTCTTGTATGAGCTAAGGAAGACATTTGGACATACAGATCGGGAGGATATGACATTTGTCATGCATTTCGGAGCATTCTTTCTTGTCTGGTTCTGCTACCTACCTGCACTGGCTTTGATCACGACACAGGTGTCGCCATTGTGGAGGTACAAGACTATAATCAGTAAGTATATGTGTATCTGACCACCATTGATCTGTTTCACAGGAGATATCTATTTAAAATATCTGTTAGTGGGCATATATTTCTCAGTGGGCATCTGTCTCTCAGTGGGCATCTGTGTCTCAGTAGGCATCTGTCTCAGTGGGCATCTGTCTCTAAATAGGTATCTGATTCAGTGGGCATCTGTCTCTCAGTGAGTGTCTCTCTCTGAGTGGGCATCTGTCTCTCAGTGGGCATCTGTCTCTCAGTGAGTGTCTCTCTCTGAGTGGGCATCTGTCTCTCAGTGGGCATCTGTCTCTCAGTAGGCATCTGTCTCAGTGGGCATCTGTCTCTAAATAGGTATCTGTCTCAGTGGGCATCTGTCTCTCAGTGAGTGTCTCTCTCTGAGTGGGCATCTGTCTCTCAGTGGGCATCTGTGTCTCAGTAGGCATCTGTCTCAGTGGGCATCTGTCAGTAGGCGTCTGGTCTCTCAGTGGGCGTCTGTCTCTCTGTGGGTGTCTGTGTCTCATTGGATGTCTGTCTCTCAATGGGCGTCTGTCTCTCAGTGGGTGTCTGTCTCTCTGTAGGTGTCTGTGTCTCATTGGACGTCTGTCTCTCATTGGGCGCCTGTCTCTCGGAGGGCATCTGTTCTCTCAATGGGCGTCTGTCATTCAGTGGGTGTCTGTCTCTCTGTGGGTGTCTGTGTCTCATTGGACGTCTATCTCTCATTGGGCGCCTGTCTCTCGGAGGGCATCTGTTCTCTCAATGGACGTCTGTCTCTCAGGGGCATCTGTCTCTCAGTGGGCATCTGTCTGTCATTGGATTGGTGTCTGTTTGCCTGGTGATTAGTAAGGATTATCGTCATAGTACTCCGGATAAATCCATAGATTCTCCAAACTCCTCCTCAAAAGCTCCATAAATATAAAATGACTGATGTGTTGATTAATAAAACGTCTTGTCCCCTTAGTAAAATGTTCATTTCTTGCAGGTCCAGGCTGCACGCCCATGTCCATCAGCCTAGACAGGGTTATGGAGTCATGTCCTTTGGCGTGCTCGTCATCATGGTAAGTGCTGCGCATGGCATTGATGACTGGACCAGCCCAGCAACCGCAGTGACTGCAAGATAATCTGCCCGCTCATTCCCCTTCTTTTTGCAGTATTTCTTGAAGGCACATCCATTTTTCTCCGCTTATTTTACACATTAAACGCAGAGATATTAATCAGCATGAAAGGCTGCTGCGCGTATCGCAACAGCTTGTAACTGGAGGCTGGCATCCTGCCATCTGGGCATGTCAACATTTAATATTATCGCTGATGAGAATAGCCTGTCCCCGGTGTAGTTTGTTTTGAAACGTACGAATACCTCTTGAGTTTCAGTGTATTATCACCTAGGAGTGTTTCACGAAGAGCAACCACGCCAGCACTATATACTAATTTGTCCAGGATAGGTTGTGTTTGATTGACACTGGCACAGTTCCACTAGAGAATGCGAGCATGCTTTCAACCTATCCTGTCTGATTTCAGTAGTGACTTTCTGGCCACAGTCCGTTTCACTTTTTGATTATTTTGCTGTGCGATCAGTGTTTTCTGTGCCTTTTCCTTTTAAGGAGTTAGTGAGGAGGATCTCAGCTCAAGCGCACGTACTCTGTCGCGAAAGTGATAATCCTGGACCAACAATTTCATGTTCAACTGGTCAGTGTTGCCTCTAAGGCCGCCACGATGTCAATCAATGTCAAATTTCTTGTAGTGTACCACATTTCTGTGCTGCTTGTCTGTTTCCCTTAAAGAATGAAACGAATCAGGGTCTCTGTGGTGAAGTGGTAAAGCTGTTTGCCTCATGCCTTGAAGGTCAGGGGTTTGCTTCATGGCTGCAGTGTTCAGTATATGAGTGCAGTTTTTATGGAGATCGCTGGGAATCGTTGCCAGAGCTTCAGAGTTTGTGCTCTATGCGATGCTGTCAGCAGGCGGCTTGCCATTTTGCAGAGAGAGACTGAGCTATATGGGATAAAACCTGGTTCAATGAAGTCGATCCCCTTGACTTCAACTGTCTGGAGACAGAGCTTTTTTGGAGTTTCAGGAGGGGATTCTTACAGTTTATACACACAAAATTATTTAAAAAAGCCTTTAATTAACATATACAAAACTATATATATTCATGTGGGAAATTGAATGAGCTAACAGAAAATTTATTAATCAACTGAAATCTCAACACTTGTTCAAATTGACTATTCTGATATGCGTAATTTATGCAAGCATTTAAAAAAAAAACCTTGGGAACAAACATGACTAACCTAAAAAATGTGTGTGAATTTCGTGATGGATGAAGCTTGGATAAGTCCTAACACTTGTGTTTTGGGAAGTAAGGCCCTTGGAGGCCCTTCAGACATTTCTGGCACATGGATCTACTCATTTTCCTGCCTCCAGATATGTTTCGGTTGCTATGACGCAACAGTCCTTTTCGCCATTGTTGGGCTTAGGTAACCGCAGAAAAAAATTGATATGAAAATGACCGAAAACAATAAACTTTCTCAACAGCTGTCAGTGAACAGCCCACATATGCAAAAAATGTGAGAAGCAATCTGATTGGCCGGTATAAAAATCTGTCAGCCAGTCTCAAGGCTTGTATAACATAGGGCTGACTGATCGGCCCAGTTGTCTTTTTGGCTACTTTGCGTCGGACTGATATCCTGGCCACATCGTCTTCAAAGGTTTAATTTTAGTGTCAGTTAGTATATATAACAGAATCTGGGTATTTTAACTAGTTTTTCTGGTGGTGGGTAGTTCACACTATCTTCTTCTTCTTAGAGTCCATGCAGTGTGATGTTGGTAGTCATGTCTATCCACAACCGTGTACTTTCAGTCACCTCTGACACAGGTGATCCTCTATGTCATGATGTCAAACTGTCTAGTATCTTTTCTCTTGGTCTCTCCCTGCCTCTCCTCTCCTCCAACTTTCCTACTCTCACGATGTACTCTAGTTTTGTCCATTTCATCACATGACCAAGGAATGATTCGGGCAATCAGTTCTCTTCATGAGTCAGTTTCTTTCAAGATTACCTCAATACTCTTTTTCTGTCCAGGGTATTCTCATCATTTATCTATAAAACTACATCTCCGCAACCTCCAAATAATTTTTCACTAAACTGCCAACTGTTCATGATTCTTCTTCTTTTGTCAAAATCTGCTTGTGCCGCTAGGCGTCGCAGTCTATCAGATGATCGGCAACCGAGCCAGGGCGCGCTCAGTCGCTTCATATGCCGTGATGTTATGAAGTCTCAAGTTGTCCGTGACTCCTTCAATCCATCTTCTTCTTGGTCTTCCCCTGCCTCTTGTTGTTTGATTTTCATGTTGTATGTTGTTCATGATTCACTTCTGTATATCAAGATAGGATTAAATTCTCTTTCTTGTTTCAACTGACAAATTTTCGTACTGTGTACTTGACCCAAGTTTGTCATGTTCTTGTAAATGTAATCAATTTAATCTGTGTTTTAGACTACAGTGTATCTCGATATCTCAGTAAGAAGAAGAAACATAAGTCATCGTATGTATTTCCCTCAGGTATTAACTATGCGGTGGACATCCTAGCCTATGCTGTACTGGTGCACCTGTTCTGGCCAGCCCGCTCTATTTTGTTCCTTGTAGAAGGAGAGAGGCCTTTACAGACCTACGACTTGGAAATTACTGGTGAGTTTATTATTTTTTTTATACACTCTAGAGCAGTGGCTCTCAAACTTTTTTCGCCGTGGCGCCCTTGTCAGGGAAAATGTTTTTCTTGGCATACCTCCCCTCAAGCGGTTTCAATACTTAGGAAATTAAGAAAAAACAGTGCATATTTAATGTTCTGTTGTGTTTAATTAATAACTGCAGATATGAAATCGGTTAGTTGTGTCTAAAGAGTGCTTAGAAACTGGTTCAGTATTTTATGAAAAGCTGATATAAACTAGGTCTGTGTGGAGAGCAAACATCAGCTGGTACAGCAGTTAAAACTACATATCCTGTACAGGACGTTTGCAAACCAGCCACAGCTTTTGCTTTCCTTTTGTGATTTCACTAAGCAATTAGCACTTGACAGATGTATATGGATTCAACAGTGCAGATTAGAATATCTATATAAATGAACATTTAGAATGTGTCATTCAGTGAGACCATCTGCAGACTAGTGGAAAAACTGATCAACAACAGCTTTAAGTGGTAGCTGAACCGATGAATGAACCAGCAAACTTCATTTCCACGGGGTAAAAAATTGGGCACGCAGGCCCATCTTACATTCAGCCCTTCCAAGCATTCAGAGGGCAGTTGCATTGTATATATCAGGCATATTATGTTAATATGTTACATTTCATTATTTAAATGTAAGTAAAAAAAAGTAAAGGACCCTTTTCCACGCCTTAAGGCATATAGGGCTAGACCTATATTTTTATAGACCAATCGCCACAAGATGGGTGATGTGGTTAGTATCACGCTGGCCGCCTTTACTTTCCCAGGACTGCACCCGGTACCCACTCAAGGCTGGGTTGACCTGGGAGCCAAGGTCATTTTTGAAAAAAGTCCTGCTCTTATATAAATGTAAATAAGAAATGCAATCTGGTTGAGCAGTGTATCAAATGTTGACATCAACAGGTTCAGTAAAATATAAAGTGAAGCTATAAGGTGGAAACATAAGAGGGAAATAAAATGCAAACATGGAAAGAGTGGCCATCTTGATGTGAACAGTTTGGATTCAGGGGCTCCCATTGTGGGGAGAAACAAGAACAGACCCACTGCCACCCCAACAAGCATGTCCTAGGAGTTGACTAATTGGGGACTTCCTTCAAAGTTCGAGTGCATCTGCTCTGGCGACAAGGAACAACAATCTGCACACAAAAAAGCCAGGAAAACAGATGTACACACAAGACTCAGGCCCTGGTACAAAGCCAAAGTCCAGATAGATAAACATCCAGGACTTTCCGCCAAAGCTTACAGCCAGTGAACAAAGAAGAAGCAGAAGCAGAGAATGGAGAGTTTAGCTGAGGACCAAGCTGCATACATATCCCAGATGATAAAAAAAAGGCTATAGGGAAAGAAATATGGGTGTTTTAATAATATCCTACCCCAGATGACGTCACAGGACAGTCCAACAGGGTTCTGGCTTTCGAATGCTTTTAATGACCCAAAAACATCTATAACTGGCCCTAACCCCAACCTACCTACATCCCACAAGAGAGTGCAGCCTAGGTCCCACGACTGCATGCAGCCTAGGTCCCACGACTGCATGCAGCCTATCTACCACTCCCTGAAATATTAGACTGTCCTGTGACCTGTGGATTTACCCTGTTTGGGGTAGGATATTAATAAAGCACCAAAATATGTATCAGCATTATGGGTTGAGGTTTATGAAATTGATTGCTTCATGAAAAACTAAAGACAAAACAAACACTACAGTGAGACATTGATCAAACACAAGGTGTGAACATGAATGGTCGAGCTCCAGCTTTGTCCTGTTATCTTTCACTGTGTGTGTTTTAATGGACAACCTGCTGCACATTTGAATTATTCTGTGAAAGGTAGCTTCACATAACATACAGAATACACTACAATTGATTGGTTTTGTCGTAAATTTTGTTCAGTTGAATTGTGTGGCCTTTTTATAACTGTGTACTGGTTATGAGTCTGTCCCTCATGTACACAGAAATGGAGAGGGAGGGAGAGAGAGAGAGAGAGAGAGAGAGAGAGAGAGAGAGAGAGAGAGAGAGAGAGGAAGGAAGGGGGTAGAGTAGGGGTGAATAGGTTTAGAAGTAACTGTTGCATCATTGGTTGTATACATTATACAGTCATAGAACAAAGCTAATACTTCTCTAAAACATTGGGGACAAAACCACTCCTATTCATGCCTTCAGTCTTATTGGGCATATAGGGCTAGGCCTGTATGTTATAGTGCAACCGGCACTTATGTTATGTTATTTGGCACTCTGGTGAGTTTGGCATACTACCAGCAGTAGCTTATCACCTGCATTTAGCATCTTCATAACAACACAGCTGCCACAAGTGTAGACAGACATAAGTCTGGTTCAAACAACACAGCTGCTACAAGTGTAGACAGACATAAGTCTGGTTCAAACAACACAGCTGCCACAAGTGTAGACAGACATAAGTCTGGTTCAAACAACACAGCTGCCACAAGTGTAGACAGACATAAGTCTTGTTCAAACAGCACATCTGCAACAATATCTCACCTCAGCCAGCATAACAGCATGACAGATTAGTCTGTTTTAATGGGGGGGGGGGGGAAGGAGGGGGAAAACCATTTGTCTTACTCTGTGAAGGTTAGGGGCTGGTTTCACAGACCGTTCATGAGCGTGTGTTTGCAAAAACCTGGGGAATCATCACCGGAATTACAGAGCTTGTGCTTTGTGCGATAGTTTCATGGCAGCTTGCCACTCTGCAGAGAGAGGGATGAAACCATAAGGGAAAAAACTCAGTGCAATGAAGTCGATCCCTCAACTTTACGGTTTCATAAGATTTAAAAGTGGCTTTTGCTGGGTGCAGGTTTTAACGACGATCTTTGGTGGCTTAATGGTTATCAGTGCTAGTTGCAAGTTTAATGGTTATCATCGCTAGTTGCAAGTTTAATGGTTATCATTGCTAGTTGCAAGTTTAATGGTTATCATCGCTAGTTGCAAGTTTAATGGTTATCATTGCTAGTTGCAAGTTTAATGGTTATCATTGCTAGTTGCAAGTTTAATGGTTATCATTGCTAGTTGCAAGTTAAATGGTTATCAGTGCTAGTTGCAAGTTTCAGTGGTTGTCTGTACTGGTTGCAAATCCTAATGTTGATCTGTCTTGGTTGCAAGCTTAAATGGTGATCTGTACTCGTTACAGGTTTTATCAGTGATCTTTACTAGCAGAAAATTTAATTGTGGTCTTTGTTGGTTGCAAGTTTTAATGGTGATCTGTGCTGATTACAAGTTTATTTGGTGATCTTTGCTGTTTTGCAGGTTTTAATGGTGATCTGCGCTGGTTGCAAGCTTAAATGGTGATATTTGTTGGTTGCAGATTTTAATGGTGATCTGTGCTGGTTGCAAGTTTTAATGGTGATTTTTGTTGGTTGCAAGTTTTAGTGGTGATCTTTGCTGGTTGCAAGTTTTTATGGCGGTCTGTGCTGGTTTCAAGTTTTTTGGTGATCTGTGCTGGTTGCATGCTTATTGGTTATCTGTGCTGGTTGCAAGTTTTAATGGTTATCTGTGCTGGTTTCAAGTTTTATTGGTTATCTGTGCTGGTTTCAAGTTTTAATGGTTATCTGTGCTGGTTTCAAGTTTTATTGGTTATCTGTGCTGGTTTCAAGTTTTATTGGTTATCTGTGCTGGTTGCAAGTTTATTGGTGATCTGTGCTGGTTGCAAGTTTATTGGTGATCTGTGCTGGTTGCAAGTTTATTGGTGATCTGTGCTGGTTGCAAGTTTATTGGTGATCTGTGCTGGTTGCATGCTTAATTGTTATCTGTGCTGGTTTCAAGTTTTAATGGTTATCTGTGCTGTTTTCAAGTTTTAATGGTTTTCTGTGCTGGTTGCAAGTTTCAATAGTGATCTTTTCTAGTGTTAATGGTGGGCCTTTCTGTTCATGCATGATTTACAATAGGAAAATGTAGTGGTGCCCAGAGTTGTTGAAATGGCAGCCTTTTGTGTGGACTTGGCAAGGGGGAAGATTGTTGCTGCAAACCATTGTGGCCGAACAAATCCAGACTGTAAGCCTGGACAATTTGGATACTTAAGTTTTAACTATTAGTTAGTTTGATGTTGTACCTGTACCTTCTATCACATTAGTCGCTGTTTACTGTTTAAACAATGGATCAGCGTTATGGCACAAGGGTGGTAACCTATAAGTGCTCTGATCTACTTCTAACTCATGCCTGAGTCTGAAGAATCTCAGCTCAGTGCACAAACTCTCTGTAGCGCGGCAAGGATCCTGAAATACTTTGGGTATATTTTTAGCTCCAAATTTTTCCTGGGCAGTGATGTTAGGCTACTCTTTTTGATTCCCAACTGCGAAGGGATTTTTTAACATGCGTAGCAATACACACGGGTGTCAGATCTTACTGCCCAGAGACCAGGGGAAATTACTAGAAGTCCACAGGAAAAAATCCCAGCCTTCGTGGGACCTCCAGCACTAGAGGCAGATGCCATACCTTGAGACCACTTAGCAGAAATATCCTCTCAGAAGAATCAAAACAAAGATGATAATCAGTCATTAACAGGGGACCCAGATGTCATGTTCTTTTGAAGTCAAGGGGGAAAACAACACACAAATGTCCTTTAAATAAGTTTATGAGTTAGGTTTATGTAGGAGTGACCGGTCATTCTGGGGGCTGCATAACTCAGCAGGGCAGTCAGCAGGTGCCTGGTCAGCTTGTCCTTCTTCTCAGCACTCACTGGCTGTAAACTCTGGTGGAAAGTTCTGGTTGTTCGTCCCCTTCTAGACTTTAGTCTTCTTTCAGAACTTTGCATGCATTGTAGTCTTTTTCCTAGGAGAAGTCACTGGAGTTCATGCTTTATGTGCTGTTATTTGCAAGCAGCTAGCCTTTCTACGGAGAGAGACCGGGTCATATGGGATAATCCCTCGACTTCATCTTTAACTTCTTTTCCTTCTCCAGGTTTGCTGGATGACATGCAAGAAATGGCCATCTTCAATCGTGCAGAGGCCCTGGCAGAAATATCCTCTCAGAAGAATCAAAACAAAGATGACATATCAAATCAGCCATCCACCTCCACAGACGTGTCAAAGGTTAAAGGTCGAAAATCTCGTAATGGAACAACTAATGGCCGTGTCTTGTCCAACGGACATCTGCAATTCCAAGACAACAGTGCATATGAGATGGAGAAGGAGTCACCGAAGGACACATGAGACTCAACCTTTGGCTTAGCTTTTATTTATGTAATGTTAATATTGTATTGTGATTATGTGGATGTTGCTGTTTTGCATTTAAGTCATACAACATTCCAGATCACAGGTTGATTGAAAATGGCGGAAGAGGTTCCCCAGGGGTAGAGAAGACTGCATTTGTCAGGGATTTTCTTTCTAGAAACAAAAGGATGTCAGTTTTCACCACAAAGTGTCTGTCACAGTAGTGCTGAAGAAGTGATGCCCAAAAATTGGTGCCAGTACTGTGCACCTCTGTGTACCGCCCTGACAGTTGCTAAGTTTAAAGTTATCTTGCTGTGTATTGCCTCAGCAATAATCAGTTCTGGTACTATACATGGACTTTTTTCTTTCTGTGTAGTATTTCCTGTGTATTTTTTTCTGTCTAGTTTTTTCCCCAATTCTTCTCCTGGCATAAAACTCAAAAGGGCAGTTTGGATATTATGCTGTGGTTTGCAGCTAGGCTATGATATCTATGCCTTTGGGTCTAAAACATGCAGTTTCCAAAAACCTATAATTAGTAGTCTTTCTATTGTTGGTAGCTAGTTTGACCACTTAATTCCTTCTGGGTCGACCTGGGAGTCAAGGTCATTTTTGAAAGAAGTCCGGCTCCACTAGGGAGCAAACCCACAACCTTCCCATTCGCACGCCAGTCTAGCCGATATGCCATGTTGACTCCCACAGTGGGAGATACCAAGTTATGTAAAACTAGATGAAGCTGATAGTCCTTAATTAAGTGTAGAATGAGTTATGTTGTGGGTTGGCAGCCTGAATGTGTGGCTCGCTGTGATCTCAAACCTTCAGGTTACAGAGAACCATGGTAAGAACCAGGTGTAGCTGCATGGTCCTAGATACAATTTTATAAGGTTGAACGAGTTAGGTTTGATTTGTTTCTATTGAATTGACATCCTAAATGTGTGGCTCTTTGGGTTGTTGTGATCTCAAACTTATAGCCATTCTGGAGGAGAGCACAACAATGATTTCTTCATTCTTTACCCTTCAGGATCTTTTAAAGAAAAAACATCTGTAGCAGTAAATACATATTATGACAGTTATAATTAATTGTTAGTGCTTGTTTGAGAATAATTTCTCATGGCTTCTTGCATGATAGATATCTGATATTTGTGCATAATCTTATTGTTAGCTTGAATTTTATTTGTATGTTTGTTTTATAATCAGAGCATAGCAGGACAGATTGAGAGCTCATAGACAGTAGAGCATAGCAGGACAGCTTGAGAGCTCATAGACAGTAGAGCATAGCAGGACAGTTTGGGAGCTCATAGACAGTAGAGCATATCAGGACAGCTTGAGAGCTCATAGACAGTAGAGCATAGCAGGACAGATTGAGAGCTCATAGACAGTAGAGCATAGCAGGACAGCTTGAGAGCTCATAGACAGTAGAGCATAGCAGGACAGCTTGAGAGCTCATAGACAGTAGAGCATAGCAGGACAGCTTGAGAGCTCATAGACAGTAGAGCATAGCAGGACAGCTTGAGATCTCATAGACAGTAGAGCATAGCAGGACAGATTGAGATCTCATAGACAGTAGAGCATAGCAGGACAGCTTGGGAGCTCATAGACAGTAGAGCATAGCAGGACAGATTGAGATCTCATAGACAGTAGAACATAGCAGGACAGTTTGGGAGCTCATAGACACAGGCATTTGTGATTCATTCCATTGTTTAACTCATTCCACACTAAGCGACTCACCATGAGTTTGTTGATTTCAACCATTGGGGTGAATCAAGACAGTGTCTCTCCCCCATTGTAAATTTGAGCTTAAAAAGACACAAACAGTAGATTGCACAGTTAATACCCTGGTTGGCTTCTGCTTAATGTCCTGCCAAAAGCTGGTGTTACTGTCTGTCTTTATCATTTTTGCAGTGTAGGACAGGGGTTCCCAAACTTTTCTTAGTCACTGTGCCTTTTTTTTTCCCAAATAAATTTTTTTCATGGGGCCGTAATCTAAGTAAAAGTATGACTGTTTGTGTCTTGGTTAAAAAAAGTATGAAGCTTTTACAATATTTTGCGACACCCCTGTAAAAAGGTCGCGGCCCCCTGGGTTGCCGCGGCGCATAATTTGGGAATCACTGGTATAGAGGGGATCTTTGAGCCTGAGGATTTAGGCTGCATGGTTAGTGCTGCCACCATTGACTGGGCAGATTGGGATTTTAGTTTTGCCCCTGGCAGGAAAATATCCCCAACCTTAGAGTGGATTTGAACCCAGGTCTCCTGCCTGAGAGCCGTGCCTTCTTAACTGTTCAGCCAGGCGCTCTTCGTGTTCACCAGCTGTGAACTACTGGGCAAAGTGCTGGTTGTTTGTCCCCTTCTAGACTTTGGTCTTTCTTTGACTTAAAGATATGGTTGTGAACATGTGTTTGACCTTAAAAAAAACAGCCATTAACCTTTGAGTGTAGTTGATAATTGATTTTGTTTTTCACTTCAAGAGATTGATTTATTTGCTTTATTTCTCCTTGACCCCCCCCACCCCCCCCCCCCCACCCCAGTTGTTACTGTAGCATGCACTGGATGAAATATAGCGGAACATACCGGGCATTGAATGTTGGATGTTGAAGTAAGAATTGACAGTTTGTTTTGAAAAACAGATCCAGACTCAGTTTGGATTTGAACACAACCTTCAGGCCGGCAGGCGAGTGTCCAAACAATACGCTACCATAGCTTCTAAATTCTTAGAATAGAAGGAGTTGAACTAGCGCTCCCTGTATTGGTTTTGAGAAACTATTATGGGGAACGAGGAATAGACCCACTACCTCTCTAACAAGCATGTCCTAGGATGTGACTTAATTGTGGGGGTTTCCTTTAAAGTCAGAGTGCATCTGCCTGAGAGGCAGAACAAACAGTCTGCATACAAACAAGCGTGCAAAACTTAAGTTCTGGATCAATACTTTGGACAAACAACCAGAACTTTCTGCCAGAGTTTACAGCCGGTGAGCACTAAGAAGAAGAAAAAAAAAACCACCTGCTTGGTACTGAAAGTGTTTCAACACATGTTTTTTGATCAAATATATGCTCTAGTTCCCAAACTTCCTAATGAAGTTTGATTGTTGTATCTCAAAACTTGCCAAGTTATTTACTGTTGTTTTAATTTGTTATATATGATTCCAGTCTTTCCTTTTCTCAAGCAAAACAATTATAGTTGTGTGATTTGTAAAAAAAAAATTTAACGACCTTCTTTTTTGTGAGACAATTAAGAATTGTTAAATTTCTTGCAGATAGCTCAACTAACAATTAATATATTTATGGTTGTGTTTGTAAAGTAGATTTTTTTAGTGTGATGAATGGCTACTTGTGTACTTTAACTTTTATTTGTGGGAAGGTTGCTTCTGCTGAGTCTCAACATAGCTCGCTGCCCTTGTTTACCTGTCTCAAGACAAAGCCACAACCACTTAGGAGTGTCAGTATGCCAGTTACTGCCATTCAGTGAACAACCCATGCTTAGTGTGAATTTTGTAACATGAATGGCGAATTTAAGATCTCATTGATCATTGGTAAATGAAAGTTTACTTTTGATTAGTTAATATATTGGAAGCTGAGAAGTATAAACATAACTGATTGGTTAATATATTGACAAATGAGAAGTAAACACATTTCTAATTGGGTAATGTATTGATAGCTGAGAAGTAAACACATTTCTGATTGGTTAATGTATTGAAAGCTGAGAAGTAAACACATTTCTGACTGGTTAATGTATTGATAGCTGAGAAGTAAACACATTTCTGATTGGTTAATGTATTGATGGCTGAAAAGTAAACACATTTCTGATTGGTTAATTTATTGTTGGCTGAGAAGTAAACACATGTCTGATTGATTAATGTATTGATAGCTGTTCCTGTGGTTATTTTGACTGTCATTGACCAGGGCTTCTTCTTCTCCTCTTCTTCTTCCTCCTCCTTTTCAATCTCTTTTTGGTTCTTTTCTAATATCTTACTACAGAAGACGTCACAGGACAGTCCAGCATTTTAGATGGTGGTACGACTAGGTTTCCCGGCTTTCTGATCTTTTATTGATCCCAAAACATCTAGAACTGGCCACTAACCCCAGCCCACCTTCGTCCACAGTGCAGCCTAGGTCCCATGACTGCTAGCGGTCTATCTACCACCCCCTGAAATATTAGACCATCCCATGAAATGTATATTTCCCCTGTTTAGGGTAGGATATTATGAAAGCACACTCCTTTTTCTTCTCTTTCTTTTCTCTTTCTGCTTCTTCTTCATCCTCCTTCTTCTTCCTCCTCCTTCTTCTTCCGCCTCCTTCTTCTTCCTCCTCCTCCTTCCTCTTCATTCACACTTAAAAGGGTGGTTGACTCTCTGCATTGTGTTTTGCAGCTAGGCTGCAATATCTGCGCCTTTTGACCCAATGCATGCAGTTTCAACATACCTATAAATAGTCACCTATAGCAATATGGTTCTTTCGTAATATCCTACCCCAGATGAAATCACAGGACCAGTGTTGCCACTCTTCTTTGACAAAAAAACATCCAAAACAGTCAAAAAATATCTAAAAACATCTAGATTCGCATGGAAAAACATCTAGAAAAAACATCCACATGGAAAAAGTCACAAATTACATAGCAATTGATGTGACTTACCCTATAGAACCATATCCTCGTCTTTACTGAAGTCTGCCTTACAAGATCCACAGGATATACTTAGCTTGGATGATGAAATTGTAGCTTAAGATCCAAAATGACTCTGGTGTGTTTAGGCTGTTCCAATTTCTTTTAATACCAAATCAGGGAGCTTATAAGTGGAACAGCCTTTCCCTACTCTTATCAGGCAAAATTTTATTGTCAAGATAGCATTTAAGAGGTCAAATTTATCCTTTCTTAGGTTAGATTTGATAAATTCACTCCAAATGAAAAACATCTAGAAAAACATCTACCATCTAAACATCAAAAACGCCATCTAAATGCAAGGGAAAACATCTAAATCTGGATGTAAAACATCCAAAGTGGCAACCCTGCA